CATACAAAAAAAATAAAAAAAAAAGAATACCTTTTGAATTCGAAACAGAACTCACAATTGGTGACATAAAAGTGAATTCTTTTGGTATTCTTTTGGTATCCTTAGGAATACCTTTAGAACAGAAATGGGATAGGAAAAGAATTCATTTTCTAAGTTGAGAATGAAAAAAGAATTCTTTTTGGAGTCTTTGTGCTATTTAGGTTTACTAATAATAATAATGTATTAAATATAAACATATAATATTTTTAAATATTGTGGACTTATTTTTTGTTAGATATAAACGTGAATTATAGTCATGAAATATATGAATTATAGATATGTCTAGAAATCTGTTGAAAGAATAAGACTCATTAAAAAAAAACATATAATATTTTAGGAATAAATAGTGGAACTATTTTATTTAAAAAAAAGAAAGAATTCTAGCATTATCGCTAGTTTGGGTTGATCTTAAAAAACAGTCACACATTGACACAATAGTAATTATAAACTACTACGTTTTATCACTTCATTTTTTTATTAACCTGTATACCTTGAACATGCTATATCTATTGCATATTTATGATGCATTTGAAGGTGTGTGTGTGTGTGTGTGTGTGTACATGTTGTGCGTAAGAGACAAAAACACGAACATAATATGTTTTATTCTTTAAAATTATGCATAAAAATATATTTTTTTCGTTTTTTTTTCGAAACGATGAAATGATGAAAGTTCCAGGATTTAATAATCTAAGCTGATTATTCACTGACTTAATCAAGATTTATTATTAATATTATTTATTTACGTTGTTATTTTTTTATATGATTTCGTTAATTTCGTATGTTCTTTCCAACATTTAATTATTTCGCTAATGACTCGAAACGTTCGAAAAAATTGTCAGGGATGTACATTTTGATGAATAAATTGTTAAAAGTCAATTAGCACAACTGCACTGTATTCTCATTAGCTCATTTCTTTGTTTTGGTCACTGAAAATCTATTGTATACCATTTGTTTTGTTATTTATTTTTTGTAAATTTATTTTAAATTTTTATTGTGATCCTAAGATGGCTGAAAAAGATCCAGTTGAAATGTTCCATATTTAAGACTGTGTTTCATAAATTTCAATTTATCTTTTATGGATGAATTTGATATCCTAATAAATTAAAATTAAATGTATAATCTTATATGTTGCTCGTTCTTTCTTTTCAATCTAATCAATTTTTTTTTGTTTTTACTATTATATCAGATCCGTTAACAATTTATTTATCACGCAAAAATCACTTTCTATTGTTAATTATATTTTATTACACAAATTCATCTAAACATGAAAGATTATATGCCTACACACAATTATATATATTATCTATATTTTAAATATTAATATATTTTATAAATTATCTATATTTTATTTGAAACAGAATTATTTCTCTAATTTTTATAGTAGAGCATATAGTCCTCTCTAAAAATATTTCTTTATAATTATTTGTAACCTGATTTGACGTTTGTAAACTGATTCATTGTATATTATTGTTTATAATTTATAAATTTCTATATCATAGTTTTTAAGATATGAGATTAGTATAATTTTTGACTGTTTTAATTAACATTTTATATTAGGAATTAATATAGCAAATTATGTATTTTTATACATATGAACATTTATTCAAATGCATTCTAAACAGTTGAATATCTTTCATGAATAATTGAAGCATAAATCGCTTTTATTCTATCATCTATGGAAGTGTCTAAATACAGACACTATCATTAATCAACCACAATTAGTGATATTTGTAATTCTTATGATGACCTAAAATGAAAAAAAATAAACATTAAATTTGCAAAACAGTTGCATTAAAAATATAATTAATTATCTGAATAATACTCACGTAGCTTTTTATAATTCATTGCATAAAATACAATCATAGAAGCGACTACAACTTGAAAGAAGGAAGCTACGCCAGTTCGTTTAGGCTGTACATACTTATGTTGCCAACGCCAAAACGCTATAAAATGAACCGAGTAACATTATGACAAGGAATTTTTACATAAATTAGGTACTCTTTTCTGAATGTCATATTAAAGTTATGTAATTTTTGGCTAATAACATGGTTTCTTTCTCATGTGCAAGTACCTCGTGAAAATACTCCAAGAAGTGCCTGTGGACTTATTCGACGTCTCGCGAACCAGCTAGGAACTTCTTTGAGCTTCAAATCCAAGTAAGGAATGTCAGCTGCATAAAGAAAAGGATTATTATTACATAATGTTATTAATTGTGCTCAAGAAAAAGAACTTATGTGGTGCTATAAACGAACTCACGTTTTCCATAATAGCGTGCAGGATCATATGGCCCATGTTTCACAGGATCGTATTCAGCAGGATAACCACCAAATGGCAGTTTATTCTCCATGGAGAAATATCAATTTTTGTAGATAAATTCCACGAAATTATCGAACAAAATACGTATATGAACGTCTAGTGCCAGTCATAGACATAGAAGATATGTAGACTGGGGACTTATAGGGCTGGTCTCAATTCCGATTAATCTAATCGATTGATTGTTATATTGGAACTGACCAATTGCATTTGTTGTTCAGCAGAATTGACCAATCACGGTTGACACTTAATTGATCGATTAGGATTAATCGGAGTTAATGAGATCGACTCTTCGGCCGATATTCATAATCGATTCTTATTTCAAGACTGTCTTAAATAATGTCTTAAGATGCTAATGCGGCTCTCTGACTGGTATTCATAGTCAGATCTTATATTCAAGACCGTGTCTTGAATATAATCTTAAATACAGTTTTAAGAAGACATCAATCAGAAGACCATATTGGCGTCTTAAGACATTACTTAGGGAGCATTTATATTGGCCGTAAGTCTGGATCTACAAAAGATATTTCAATAAGCCTTAAGTTTTAAGCGTAAAAATTTGATCAACTACAATCGAATACGAGGAGAATAAGTGATTCACTCATTCCTTACGACTTAAAGTCTTGTGTCCACGATGCTAGAAATCAGTCTGAGATCTCTGATAAAGATAGAATTGACCAATTGCAATAATCATATGATCAAATTGTTCAAATATAATTTGTTAATTTTTTCTCTATCCGAGAATCCTTTCTTCTTGAATCGATTTCTAGTATCGTGGACATCGGACTTTAGGCTTAAAAATCTGATGTAAATCCGGAGTAAGTCAAATAGACATTCTGAGAACGTCCTTACTACCTGTACTGAACATTCTGAGGATGTCCTTATGCTATTTGGGCCGGAAGTGGTGCGGAATTGATACAGAAAAGGTGCAAAAAAGGTGCAAAAGAGTTGTGGAAAGAGAAGAGATGCGGATAAGTGCAGCAAAAATTAGTGCAAGAGAGATGTGATAGAGATATAGAAAAAGTGTAGAAAATAAATGCAAAGAAGTGTAGAAGAGGTGCAGAAAATATACAAAAAGTGCAGCAAAAAAAGATAAAGATTTTGAAGATGACGACGACGACGACGACGACGACAAAGAAAAAGGGAAAATTTAATTATTTTTTACATTATTCTCATTTCTTTCCGTCCTTATTATTTATTATTAAATTTGCGGGCTGTGAAATTTTTTTTTATGGTTGAACACGAAGAGATAAATTATTTGAATTATCATTAGCATTACATTGAAAAAGTACTATGTGAATATTTAATTCATAAAACATTTTATTTAAAATTATATCAGCAAAAAAATAATATATAGACATAATATTTTACAATAAAATATCTAACTTTCTACTTCTTTCTACTTCTGATAAATCTATTCAACACTGTTTCTTTAACAATTTCTATGTCTTTATGCAACGCACAAGTTCCAAAAGTTTTTCATACAATCTATTAACCAAATTTTGAAATATCAAAGGATTGAAAAACTTCGTTCAGCAAAAACAACACACCGATGAAGTAATATTTTATGTATCTTACAATAGTGACTTTCGCATAACACTGCATAATGCAGTGTTAACAATAAACCAATGCTTTTAAGCTGCAAGAACTTAAGAATATCCTTAAATTAAAAAATATTTTTGGAATATAAAAATTATAATTAAGCATTTTAGAAATATTAAAAATATATGTAATAGTTATTATATGTAATAGTTATTATATGTAATAGTTATTATAAAATATTTTTAAAAAAGGTGATCCAAAGAGGGAAAGGGGAGGGGGAAGGGACATAGCTCTCGTAAATCCGCCAGTGAAGAGAAAATTCTTTTGTCCTCTCATTGGTCAAATTTTAATCTTCAATTTTCAATCTTCAATGCGTAGTCTAATTGCGGCCTTACTAAGTGATCTACTCTAGGTAAACTAGGACATTCCTTGATTGAAAAGTATTACAAAAGTAGGACAAAAAAGAAAACATTTTAGGTTAAGTATAGTAGAAAATAAGTAGTATATTTGAATTCAATAAAAATAAAAGAAAAAAGAGTATATTTAAAAATTCTAAGAACATGAAAACATGTATTTATAGTATTAGCAAAAAAATAATTTTAATATGGTAAAATAATACCTAATAATTTTTAAATTTTATTATAGATATACAGTAATGATCATTAATTCATTACTATATGTATTTTATTTGCAGTGAACTTAATAATTTCCCCTCGTTCTCTCTTTCTCTCTCTCTTCTCTCTCTCTCTCTTCTCTCTCTCTCTCTCTCTCTCTCTCTCTCTTTTTCTTTCTTAATAGCTCCTATTCAGAACGCGAATTTTCTTAATAAAAGTGCGCTTTTATCTTTAAAATTCTATAGTATGCGTAAATTATAGCATGTTAATGCGCTTACAATAATGTTAGCGCACTAACATGCTATAATTTATGCCACGCATACTATAGAATTTTAAAGATAAAAGCACACTTTTATCAAGAAAAACACGTTTTGAATACGGATCTACATGTTTGGGAAAGAGTATGAATAAATCGTAGGCCTTACGGACATGGTTGTTATCTTATTTTAGTTGTAAAAATCTATATTCTTCCCCAATATATGCATTTTTTTAATAATTTATTGAAACAAAACAATAATTTTTTATTACAGAAGCGTCCTTCTTCTTGGATGTGCTGTTGCAATGCTAGCATTTTTTTAAATAGTAGTGCCTCTTTTATAATAATATAAAAAAAATGTTTTTAATGTATTAAACGTCAAAAATATATTTGACGGGAGATGCTACCGCGTCTTCAGATTAAGAGTGATTATGGGACATCCTGCATACAATACTAATATGTAACATAAAAGTGTGCAATTGTATGTATGTAGGTACATATGTACTGATTTCTAACTTGAAATAAATAGTGTCATTTTTACGATTTCGATTTTTACAAAAAAATCTTTATAAAAAATGAGAAATATTTCTATATTTCTGACTATAAATTTATAGTTTTTAGCATCGAAAAGACGATTCTTGATTTCGTAATTCTAGATAAATTATTTTTTTATCGATATTATTTTGTTTTCACGTAAATGCCGAGTATTCTTGTTCCATCTCGCTTAGCATGTTGTAAAGTCGTTTCTGTAAGTTGTCTGGCGCTGCCGCACGTGGTAAATGTGTCGTGTCGCCGTCTGGATTAGCGCATTGTCTCAATAACACTGCCAATGTGCTAGTAGTATGTTCCGACATGAGCAATCCAGGAATAATTATCGTTCCTGAGAGCGTCCAACCGAGAAAAATCTTCTCACAAATAATCTATAATCGTACATAACTCTTGCAATAAAAATTTATATAATAAAATTGAAACAATATTAAAATTAGTAATAACAACTGAAATTTTATCCATGTTTAGAAAGATTCTATTAATGAATTCCATTTATATGAAGATATGTAACAAAGAGTAATACGCAATAAAAGTAATAATGATAATGTATTATTTTATCGAAAATACCGTCAAAATATTTGAAATAATACACTTTTCTACGCGTATAAAAAATATACTAATTAAATATATATAATATCAAATATAACAAAAAAAAATATTTAATAGTACTAATTTTACCTGTAAATTATTATTAAGAACGGGAGATTCGCAGCGTTTCTTCTTCGAGCAGATAGACCGGCAATCGAAATAATCACAGTCCTCATGTTTTTCGCAGCTCTTACCGTCACTAATAATACGATCGATAATGGTTTTAGGGAAGACTGCGTCCAGATCTAAGAATTTCAGTTTTTGCCCGCCCAGGGGTAAACCGAAATGATTAATTTTCACATCACAGAGATAAAGTGGCTCGGGAAAATTCGTCTCCAACTCTTCGAGTAGATTAAGGATCATCACAGCGAGTTTTAACCTTTTGGCCCATTCGGGTTTCGAATCGGACAACGCTAACACCGTCGTGGGTGTTTCAATTGGTCGGACGTACTCGACCGCGTAGAATGTGCCACACGTGCCGATCGGTTGCGGAAATACATCCCTGTCTTCATACAAAATCGCCATTAAATATTCATTCTCTTGCAGCAACGGCCAAAGATTCTCCATCTCCAGTCGACGTCTCGTGGCATCGGTCTCGACTCGATGGGTGCGCAACCGGGCGAGTCTTTCTAGCTGATGTCGCGTGAGAGTTACGTTGAGTTTATTGATAGTTAAATCTTTGATCATGATGATAAAATCTTCCTCAGATGGGAAATGTTGCAATCCGGTTGCATCCACCCAATAGAGCGATTCGAATTGCTCCGAGGGGATTTTAGTTCTATATGCAAATTAAGATTAATTCATACATATATATATATATATATACACT